TCCAATATTTACAAATCCCAAAGAAGCTTTTAGGGATTTAAGGATTTAATCTTTGACTTCTAAAACCAGCTTTCCATTGTCAGTCATAATACCAAGGAGCATTTAAAAACTGCAAGGAGCCGTGAGATAGGCACTTATGTACTGCTAGTATAAGTACAAATTGATAGTCTTTCTAAAAGCAGTGTGGCAAAGTGTATAAAGACTCTTAGCATGTCACTTCTCATCACCTCCATGTTATTACCCTGGTCTGAGTCCCATCATCTGTTGCTGGTTTGCAATAGCCTATCAGCTGGTCGTTATGTTTCTCCCTTTATAGTCTCTTTTTTTTTTTTTTTTTTTTTTGCAGTTTTTGCAGTTTTTGGCCAGGGCTGGGTTTGAACCCACCACCTCTGGCATATGGGGCCAGCACCCTACTCACTGAGCCACAGGTGCTGCCCCCCCTTTATAGTCTCTTGTTGACACAGCTAGCAGAGTGAACCTTTTAAAATCATGTTGCTCTTCTGTTCAAAACCCAGTGATAACTTCTTATTTTACTCAGAATAAAAGTCCTAAGTTCCCATGGTAGCCTGTAAGGCCTTACATGAATTGACTAGCCCTTTGACTTCCTCTAGTATGACTGTACCCCTCTTTTTTTTTTTTTAAAGACAAGTATCCCCCTGTTGCCTGGGCTAGAGTGTAGTGGCATCATCATAACCCATTGTAACCTCCAACTCTTGGACTTACACGATCCTCCTGCCTCAGTCTCCTGAGTAGCTGGGGCTGCCATCTCATACCACCATGCCTGGCTATCTTTGCTTATTTTTTGTAGAAAAATTTGCTTAGCCTGGCCTTTAACTCCTAGCTTCAAATGATCCTCCTGCCTCAGCGTCCCAGTTATAGACATGAACCAACCACTACACCCAGCCTGACCCCCTTATTTGTTCCGCTCCAGCCACCCTGGACTCTTTGCTATTCCTCTGACATGTCCCATATGCTCTTAACTTGGCATTTGCACTGTTTCCTTTGTCTGAAATGTTCTTCCTCCAGCTATCTGCTTGGTTATCTCTTACCATTTCCTTCAAGTTTTGGTGGAAATCTTACCTTCTCAATGTGTCTTATCCTGATTATCCTTTTAATATTGCCATGTCCTCAACCTCAGTGCTTTGGCATATCTGATACACTTTTCTCTGCCTTTTTCCTCTTTTCTGTAGCATTGAAGATTTTCTTTGTTTTTGTTTACTTTTTTTTTTAAGACGGAGTTTCATTCTGTTGCCCATGCAACAGCCTAGCTCACAGCAACCTCAAACTGCTAGGTTCAGGAAATCCTCCTGCCTCAGCCTCTCGAGTAACTGGGACTATAGGTGCCCACCACAACGCCCAGCTAAGTTTTTCTATATTTAGTAGAGACAGGTTATGACTCTTGCTCAGGCTTGTCTGGAATTCCTGAACTCAAGCGTTCCTCCTCCCTTGTCCTCCCAGAACGCTGGGATTGCAGGTGTGAGCCACTGTGCCCAACCTATTTATATTTACTATTTACCCACAACTTTCTCTCATCCTCTTAGACTATACTAAGCTCCACAAGGACAGGAATCTTTCATTTGTTCACTCATAAAAGTTCCTAAACCAAAGTCTGGTTACTCAAATATGTATTTGTTGAATGGATGACTTTTAAAAATACCCCTATTCTTTGACCTAGAAAACTCCACTTCTAGAACTCATTTCTAAAGAAATAATCAGCCATAGATTTATTTAGGTTATTAACAATTATAAAAATGAAAATTTTCAAACAATCTAAACATCTAAAAACAGATGGTTAATGGTTAAATGATTTGATATATCTATATGTGTAATGGAATAACATAAATGCATTAAAAATATGGTTTTGAACAATATGTAATTACATGGGAAAATATTTATAATGTTAAAATGAAAAGTTGAATATAAAACTATATATACGGGGCGGTACCTATGGCTCAGTAAGTAGGGTGCCAGCTCCATATGCCAAGGGTAGAAGGTTCAAACCCAGCCCCGGCCAAACTGCAACAAAAAAAATTAGCTAGGCATTGTGGTGGGCACCTGTAGGCTACTCAGTAGGCTGAGGCAAGAGAATCACCTAAGCCCAAGAGTTTGAGGTTGCTGTGAGCTGTGACACCACAGGCACTCTACCAAGGGCAACAAAGTAAGATTCTGTCTTAAAAAAAAACCAAAACTGTATATGCTCCTACCTTATACTAATATAAAAACTTGAAGTGGATTAATGAGTTCAAAATAAAAGCAAAACCATAAAACTCTCAGAAGAAAACATAAGGGTTAGCCGGGCGTGGTGGCTCACTCCTGTAATCCTAGCACTCTGGGAGGCCAAGGCAGGTGGATAGCTTGAGCTCACGAGTTTGAGACCAGCCTGAGCAAAAGCAAGACCCACATCTCTTCTAAAAATAGAAACACTGAAGCAAGAGGATCACTTGAGCCTGAGATGGAGGGTGCTATGAGCTGTGATATCACAGCACTCTACCCAGGGCAATAGCTTGAGACTCTGTCTCTAAAAAAAAAGAAAAGAAAGGAAAGAAAGAAAACCTAGGGTCAGTCTTCATGACCTTGCCCCTAAAGTAAAGGCATCTGAAATGGCAGTACTGTTAGGTATAACGCTAAAAACATAAGCAAGAAAGAAAAAATAGATAAATTGGACTTTAATAAAAATTGAACTTTTTTTTTTTTTTACGTCAAAGACATTATGGAGAAAGTGAAAAGATAATCCACACAGAATGGGAGAAAATATTTGCAAGTAATATATCTGATAATGGTTTAATATTCAGAATATATAAAGAACTTCTACACTACAACAGCAAAAAGACAATCCAATTCAAAAATGGGAAAATTATTTGGTTATAAATTCTTCCAAAGAAGATATATGGAGAGTCAGTAAACACATGAAAAGATGCTCAGTATCATTATTCATTAGGGAAATGCAAAGCCAAACCAAACTGAATCCCACTTTATACTTATTATAGAGGATAAGTTTACAGTAATTTTTTTTTTTTTTTTTTTGAGACAGAGCCTCAAGCTGTCCCCCTGGGTAGAGTGCCATGGCATTACAGCTCACAGCAACCTCCAACTCCTGGGCTCAAGCGAGTCTCCTGCCTCCGCCTCCCAAGTAGCTGGGACCACAGGCGCCCGCCACAACGCCCGGTTATCTTTTGGTTGCAGCCGCCATTGTTGTTTGGCGGGTCCGGGCTGGGGATTCGAACCCGCCACCTTGGGTGTACGTGGCTGTCGCCTTAGGCGGTTGAGCTATAGGCGCCGAGTCAGTTTACAGTAATTTAAAAACCAGAAAGCATTGGTGAGGCTCTAGAGAAATTTGAACCATCACACATGTGTATTGCTAGTGGTAATGTAAAGTATTGCACCTGTTGTGAAAAATAGTTTGGGAGTTCCTTAGAAAGCTAAACATGGGAGCCAGGTTCAGTGGTGTGTGCCTGTAGTCCCAGTTACTCAGGATGCTAAAGTGGGAGGATCACTTGAGCCTAGGTGTTCAAGGCCAGCCTGGGCAACATAGTAAAACTCTGTCTCTCCCCAGAAAAGGCTAAAAAACATAAAATTACCAAAAAATTCCATTACTCAATAATAGATCCCAAAGAACTGAAAACAGGGACTCAAAGAGATACTCATATGCTGTTGTTCTTTACAGCATTATTCAGGTATCCGTCAATAGAAATGGATAAACAAAATGTGGTATAGACATAAAACAGAATATTTTTCAGCCATATAAAGGAATGAAGTTCTAGTATATGCTACAACATAGATGAACCTTAAAAACATTATGCTTAGAGAAAGAAGCCAGACACAAAAGGACAAACAGTGTATATTCAATTAACATGAAATAGCTAAAATAGGCCAATTTATAGAGACAGAAAGTAGATTAGACATTACCACAGTGGGGGGATGAAGAATGGAGAGTTATTTGCTAATGCTTTCAGAGTTTCTGTTTGGGGTGATTAGTAGTTTTAGAAACAAAAAGCGAGGTTAGCTGTTCAACATTGTAAATGTAATTACTGCTGCTGAATTATACATTTCTAAATGTACAATTTACAGATGGTTAAAACTGCAGCTTTTCCATCAAAACCCCCAAACTATATATATATTAAAAATATGTTGCGGTGAGCTGGAGCTTGTTTGAGCATGGACATCTCTTCTCAGCTGTTCCTTCTGGGATGTTGGTAGCTTCAGATTGGCCATGGTAGGAGTATTTTATGCCAGGGCAATTGGCAAATGCTACAGAACAGCCCCCACCTCCACCCCCTTTGAGCTAGTTTTTAAAAACTTACTAGCGTATCACTAAACAGATGTGTAAAAATGCATAGAAAACCTTCCAGAATGATAGATGCTAAAAGATTAACGTGTAACCTCTGGTAGGGTAGTGTTATAGCAGGAAGGTGAAAGTAAACTTATACCACATAAACAATGTTAACACTTAATATATCACTTCCATTTTTTTATAGTGAGCATACAGATATATTTCTTATATTGCCTTTAAAAAACAGACCTACAATATTCATATATTGGAATTGTGGTATTGGTAACTTTCCTCTTCAGAGGCTCAAAGCTGGTCACACATACTGTTTAAAATACCTCACAAAGGCTCGGCGCCTATAGCTCAACCGGCTAAGGCGCCAGCCACGTACACCTAAGGTGGCGGGTTCGAATCCCCAGCCCGGACCCGCCAAAACAACAATGATGGCTGCAACCAAAAAATAGCCGGGTGTTGTGGCGGGCGCCTGTGGTCCCAGCTACTTGGGAGGCTGAGGCAGGAGACTCGCTTGAGCCCAGGAGTTGGAGGTTGCTGTGAGCTGTAATGCCACGGCACTCTACCCAGGGGGACAGCTTGAGGCTCTGTCTCAAAAAAAAAAAAAAAAAAAAAAATCACAAAGAGACTAAAGGTCAAGCCTAGGAATTGGATTCTATTTCTTAAACTAAATGCTTTTTTCTTGCCCAACTAAATGAAGCTTTTTCTTATCTCTCTCTAGGTTACCCCACAGCCTACCCAGCAGCAGCCCCTGCCTACAATCCCAGCCTGTATCCTACTAATAGCCCCAGTTATGCTCCAGGTAAGGAGAAAGTGGGGGCAGTGGTGAATGTAGTGGAAGGTGGGCCCAATTGGGGGGGAAAAATACCTACTGGGCTCAGCCTGTCCCAGTGTGATTCTCCTGGGAGTCCCCTTTGGGAACTGGAACAGATCAGCATCAGGGTGGGGGTTGGGAGTAGAATCTCCTCCATTATTCTTGGGACTTAGGGTTGGCCCATCTCTCCTATGCTGGAATGTTTGAGATATGCATCCTCTTCACAGAACCTTTTCTCCTCTCCCAAGCAGTGTCCAAATCCATTTTTTGCTCAGTTTCCCCTGAGGCTGCCACTGGGACACACACACACACATATACACTCCTGGGATTTGGAAGAGAGTGAGAGACTTGCCACCAGAGAATAAAGACCTGGTTTTCATGTTGAAATAAGCTATTTGCTTTTCAAAATAATAAAGGCCCAATACTTCTTGGGTAGAGATGGAAATGGGTTTGAAAATGTTGAAAAGTTTTATTGGATTTTGAGACAGGAGCTTTGCAGAGGTTTTACTTCTAATCTTAACCATCATACTTAGCTGGTGTTTTAACACTCAAGAACAGGAAGAAAAAGTATAGACTCTGTGGTTAGAAAGAAAGTCCTGGGTTTGAATCCTGATCACCTAACTCTTTAGGTTTAAGGCCTTGGGCAAGTCACCGTAGCTCCCTGAGTTTTTGATGTGACTGCCTGCCTCAGGGTTGTAGATGGTTTTATATAAGTTCCTCTTCATTTACTCAACAAATGCTTATTTGTTGAATGTTCTCCACACTGAGATAGAAATATTTAAAGATACCATCTTTGCCTGAAGTAGCTTATAGTTTGTTTGGAAGCCTGGCATATAAACAAATTCATTGTAGTACAGTGTAATAAGTATTGCCAAAGGAATACATATAGGAAGAGAGGAGGGAACAACAGTCTACCTAGGGATAAAAGTGTAGGGGGGCTTCACAGAGAAGGCAGCAGTAGAGATTTGAGGGAAGAGTAGGAGGTGTTATTTTAAGCATGCAAAGGAAGAGTGGGCACTGTAGGCAGAGGAAAGCATGGACACAGTCATGGAGATATGAGGATACAATACTGCGAGTAACCTGGAAGTAGGGGAGTGGTTAAAGCACAGACTGTGAGGCGCTATGGGAATCTGTAATAGCCAGACTTAGGCCTTCATTGTCATGATAATACCCCCAGTTTCTTGTTTAGCAATTATTATTATAGAATTAGAAAGCTTCAAAAGACTCCAGAGATCTTCCATTTCAATCTTCTCTTGACAAGGGAGCTCCAGAAAGAAGCACATTTTGTCCTCAGTTACCTAGTGAATCAGCAGCAGAGTATGGACTAGAACCCTTGGCGAATCTCTTTCTCTCAGTCCCATGCTTTTCTGTGCTATTCCAGTACTTACTGTATTGTCATTCCCTTTCTTCTGGGATATTTAAAGGAGAAAAGAACATGGGCTATCTCTGAAGGACTAGATTTGAGTCCTGACACTGTCACTTTGTAGAATAAAGTCCCCTTAAAGTCATCTGACCTCTTTGAGCCTTTGTTGCCCCATTTCTAAAGTAGGAATCATATCATAATCATATTATACACACACACAGATATACACATACCCCCACCCACCATGAAGTTGTCAGATAGCCCCTCCTTTTTTGGCAAACAAAAACTATTGCAAATAAGTGATATTACCTCCTAAAGTGCATCCATAGATGTGGCATTCCACAGACATTTAATTTGGACCTATATCTGAAACACTCTGGAAGACAATGCATACCATTTTCTTAGAAACTCACAAAATCTATATGAGAGAAAGCCCACAGCTGGGACTTGGAAGACCTGGGCTGCATCACTAACTCTGCTTCTGATTTGGGTGGCTTTTTTTTTTCTTTTTTCAATGACATGCACACACAACTGAGTCTGTTTCATATTTGGGGATGCTCATCTCTGCATTCACAATGCAGATTTCCTGACAGCAGTGAGGACTTTCTGCCATGGAGTATCTGGCTCAAGGTCAGAGAGGACAGTGTAGGTTACTTTCTGTTTCCTGCCAGAACCAGCCATTTGTAGTGCAGAGAAGTGTCTGCAAAGGAGCCAGGTCTCAGTTTTAAATTTCTTTCACCTATCTCAAGGAGATCAAGAAGTTGTTTCAGAAGAGCTATTTTTAGCAGCTCTGAGTACTTACCTAAGATGTCGTCTGTCCAGGATACAGGGAAACAGTTCACTCTTTCATTGGTTCTGAAAACAGAACCAATGGGTACTTAGAGCTTTTTTCCAAGCTTTGAATGATTTCGGGGATGTTATGTAAGAATAATTTGGCCCCACAGGAATCAGGGGCCAGCCAAGACTTAGTTTTCAGAATCTGGAGACCAAAGAATTTGTCCTATTAATGATAATCTGTCTTGATTACTGTTTGATTTCATAGCAGACCTATAAAATACAAATAGACAGGTATTATTTATATTTTACATATAACAAACTTGGCGAAGAGTAGGGGAAAGGAATTTGTGCCTTCTGAACACCTCTGTTCCAGGCCCCGCACAAAGCATGTTACAAATAATTTGTTTTGTTTTGTTAATTTCTCCACTTTTAAAGGAACATTCATTTTTACCTAAGTCTTATAAGTTAGAGCTTCTATCCTCTAGTTTGCTCAGAGATGTTAAATAAGTCATCCAAAGTTATACAGCTAAAAATCAGTAGAGCTGGGATTCAAACCCAACTTGTCTGACCCTACAGCCTGTGTTCCTTCAGTAGTACCACATTGTCCCAGAAGCTTCAGGGAGGGAGTGCCTCTGCATTTGTTCCTGGCTCTCTGGGGCTTAACAGACAATTCTTTAGAGGCCAAAGATGGCAAGATTGTTCCTGAGCCTTCACTTGCTCTAACAAGTAAAGTCTGTGTCATGTGTGAAATTCCTTTGCAGTTCTTGGGACAGTTGAAATGTATTCTGGATATCACAGACAAGTGAAGAGCAGGAGTTTAGATTTATTTACATCCAGGCAGCTTCTGGGCCAGCTGCCTGGAAGGCACCATGGCATCCAGGAAGGTGCCCCCTCCACAATGAATGGGTTTTCCTGATGGCAAGTCTGTCACCCTCTCTAGGGTCAAGGTACTTCCCACCCTCTGCATTCAGTTTCTTGTACAGCCCAGGTGAAACTGCTATCTTGAGATAAAATCTGTTTATATAACTGCAATGTGTACAACTTTTCTCAAATTCTTAGTGGTAATTTCAACTAACATTTCTATCCAACAGAGTTTCAGTTCCTGCATTCAGCTTATGGTAGGAGAGCTATTTTTCCTCATCTGTATTACAGCCTATGTGTTATCTTGTAACAATGGTAGATCCCTTTTCCTTTCCTCCCCAAATCTCATCCCCTAGGCTTGGGCTCCCCCCAGGTGGCTCAGCAGCAGTTCCTAAAGCATGCAGGAACATGTCTGATGGTGCAAAATCATGGGTTGGAGACACACGTGAACTGTCCCCTAGGGCAACAATGAAGGATCATGGCACTAAAGGGCGTCTCTCACCCTAACCTGGCTATAGAATTTAAACAAACAAATGAACAAAAATTCCAGGGCCTGAATGTGGCTCCTCTGTTTGCTTTGTGGCAGCCTCTGTGAAGGAATACCTGGATATGCCTGTTAGAACCCAAAAAACTAGTCTGCCCCAGGATCAGGTTTTCCATCTCCATCAGCAGTCTGACATGTTTGAAGACCTGGTTGACTTTAGATACAATCTGTTCCCTTAGCCCAGTTCAAGATCTGGGCTCATTTTGGGGGCATTTTTCTAGATGGTGAGAGGTGGGGGCCAAGTGTGCTATCGAATGAGAGACCAGAGCTGGGTTCTCTGGGCGGTGTGGACTCCAGGCCCAAGGCACCACGGGAACTTCTGGGCACCTGTGAGGGTCCCAGCAGTGTAACTTGACTAGGTCCTTTTTGTCATAGACAGGAAGGGACCATGAAGGGACTTTTACCATCCTCACCTGGGCTGCTCAGGACAATATTTTTTGAAAATCTCTGCCTACTTTTTTAACTTTTCCCCTTGAATTATTTGGATGCTGGAAATTGAATTTGTGTGTGGCACATCTTTCAAGAGATGAGCTGTGAAATTTCTCCTTGCCATTGCTTGTGGGCTGAGTGATCTTGGGCAATTTGCTAATATCTCCAGGCCATAGTTAGATTGTTTTATTACACATGATCTCTGAGGCCCCTTTAACTGCTAACACACTGTCCTCTTATTTTATTATTTTAATTTTGCTAGTCACAGACATGTTTCTTATATCATTTATGGAGGGTCATTGTCTGTTTGCCTCAGGATATATGAACAGAAGACTCCATAACAAGTTTAAGAAGCTGGCTAGATGGGGTGACCCACATCTGTAATCCCAGCACTTTGGGAGGCTAAGGTGGGAGGATTGCTATGCCCAGGAGTTTGAGGTCAATCTGGGCAACATAGTGAGACCCTGTCTCCACAAAATTTATTTTTTAAAAAAAATCAGCTGGCTCAGCACCTGTAGCTCAAGTGGCTAACGCCTCAGCCACATACACCAGAACTGGCTGGTTCATATTTAGCCCAGACCTGCTAAACAATGACAGCTACAACCAAAAAATAGCCGGGCGTTGTGGCACCTGTAGTCCCAGCTACTTGGGAGGCTGAGGCAAGAGAATTGCTTAAGCCTAGGAGTTGGAGGTTGCTGTGAGCTGTGATGCTACAGCAC